CCTGGCGTACCCCACGGGGAGGCACCCCAGCCGCCGATGCAGGCCTGCTCCCCCCACCCCGGGAGCGAGGGCCGGTCGGGGCCTGATCTTGGGGGGGGGGTCAGGGCTCTCGTTGGTCACAGATGGCGTGGGGATTTCCTGGGATGGAAATAGCCACTGGCTGTGGCCCCTTAAAGCTGCTTAAGGGGCGGGATGCTTAAGGGAGGTCTGGGCACACCCCACGTCCCCGACCGCGCCCCCAGCCCCCACCCGTCTGAGCTGTGACCCGGGGGACGCCGGCAATGGTGAGAAGCCTCCTCCAGTTTGTAAGACATAAGCACATCCCCAGGCTGACGGTCATCCCCGCGTCTGTCCCCTCCCCCATCTTTAGAGTCGGGCTACAGCAGCCCTTTCAGAAGGTTCCTGCCTGGTCACCAGGCCCCGCTGCTTCCCCTGACCCCCCTGCTCTGGGTGCAGCCCAGGAACAATATGATCCCCTTTCCTTCCTCCTGGGTTCCCGCAGCAGGTGGGGCTGCCACAGGGCCGGTTCCGGGGACACGGTCATGCAGGGCTAACTGTTCTCTCTCTCTCCTCTAGGGGCAGACCACAGAACCCGAGGCCATGTCCCATGAAAAGAGTTTCTTGGTGTCTGGGGACAACTATCCCCCCACAAACCCTGGATATCCTGGGGGACCGCAGTCCCCCATGCCTCCCTATGCTCAGGCTCCCTACCCTGGGGCTCCTTACCCCCAGCCGCCTTTCCAGCCCTCCCCCTATGGTCAGCCAGGGTATCCCCATGGCCCCAGCTCCTACCCCCAAGGAGGCTACCCCCAGGGCCCCTACCCCCAAGGAGGCTACCCCCAGGGCCCCTATCCCCAAGGGGGCTACCCTCAGGGCCCCTATCCCCAAGAGGGTTACCCACAGGGGCCATATCCACAGAGCCCCTTCCCCCCGAACCCCTATGGACAGCCACAGGTCTTCCCGGCACAGGACCCTGACTGTGAGTTGTGGACAGGGGAGGGGCAGGGCCACAAGCTGCTCACCAGTGGGCGCTGACCCAGTGCATTTGTTCCTCAGCACCGCAGCATGGGAACTATCAGGAGGAGGGGCCCCCGTCCTACTATGACAACCAGGACTTCCCTGCCACCAACTGGGATGACAGGAGCATCC